TTGAGCTCCTGCTTTCCATGTGGGAGACCTGGATGGAATTCCTGGATGTTGGCTTTGGCCTGGCCCAGCCCTGGCCATTTGGGCAGTAAATCAGCAGACTGAAGGTCATTCTCTTTCTGTGTCTCCCTCTCTCTGTCACTCTCTGATTTTAAATAAACAAATAGATCTTTTAGAGAAAGAGGCAAAATAGCATATTAAAAAAAGAACATGAGTTCAGAGAAATGTCATGAGGGTAATTCACAAAAAGTTCATAGAAAATAGAATTAGATGGTAAATTCATTTTGGTACAAAAATATTTTCAATCTGGGTACAGTTTTTTCCTAGTGTGCTTTTCCCTGGTCACTTTGAAAATCCATTGTACTTGAGTTTGAATCTGGTTTCTGCCTTTTAGTAGCTATGTGCTCTTGTGAAAGTCATTTAACCTTTCTGTGACTCAGTTTCATTTACATGAAATGAGGCCAATGATACATTCATTTCATACAGTTGTTCCAAGGACTAAATACTATAGTATCTAAAAAGAGAGTTTAGAAGTGACCAGGATGTAATAAACATAGTTGTAACAAATAATAAATTATGGCCATTATTATTCTTATTATTACCACAGAAAACCACTCCAACTTCCCCATGTGATACCAAGTCCAATGTATTTTTTCTAAGTCATAAAAGTTAGAACCAAATCCTTCACGTGAACAAGAGATTCCGGTCAATAGACAGCCACATAGTATTTCTAGTGCCTTAAATATTATCAATTGAAATTGTTATTTAAGTAGCTGTCTGTTCTGACTCTTGATATGAAGGATTTGTCTTTAATGGAAAATATCTATTTCACCTAAGTATGAAATTCAGTGACGCCAGCTTGGGTATCTTCCATGGAAGCTTCCCTGCTGAGCACAGAATAAAGATGTAGATGGAAGCAAATTTATTTCAGATTTTATAGATTGGAGGCATAGCTGTGCAGAAGCAGGCCATGAAAAACGCAACCTCAATGCTCCCCTTGAACTCACAGTAATTTATCTCAGAAATGTTGTTGAGTTCCCTGAACTGTAAGGTAAGTAACTTGCTCCAAGCAGCTTTAAATCTTCTGTAGGGAATGAGCTATCCCCGTGGTTTGCGGTCTGTGTGCTGTGCTCCATGGCTTGGAACTGTGAACACTATCCAGCATGCTTCAGAGAGGCAAGGATCTGCAGTTCATGTGCCTAGGCTAAATTCTCTGGGGAAAAATATTTCATAGATGAGGGATGAATTAAAAGTCAGCTGCAATGCCTTCTTGAAGGAAAAACAGTCCTGGAGGTACTTAGATGTGGAAATCATGTATCTGCTCATTGAAACAGCATTTAACTACTTCTTTTTTCATTCATGTATTCTATGGATATTTACTGAGTACTACTCCATATAGCCAGTGTCCTAGGCACTGAGGACCTGGTGGTGAACAAAATGAAGTTGCACTGTTCATGGAGCTGGCCCCTTTGTTGCCAGGCACTGTACTGAGGATACACAGACGATTGAATCCCACCCCTTCTCTTTAAGGTGTAACAAAGAGAGAGAGAAAGACAATGGACAATAAATACAGTCAGGGTTGTGGGGGATACTGTGACCTCTGAAGGTCAAGTGGGGTTTTCTAAGAAAAATGACTTTGAAGTTGACTCCTGAAGAGCAAGAGGGAGCCAACCAGTGGTCATTCTAGGCAGAGAGAGCAGCGTTTGCTCAGGAACAGAAGTGAGAAGAAATTGCAGGTGGCTCCATATGGCTGCATGGCCAGATGGTGAGTCTGGAGAGATGGGTAGAGACCAGATGATAAAGAGACTTAGAAACTATACTACCAAGTTCTATACTTTATTCTAGGACAGTTTGACTAATGGTGAATGTTAATTAAGGAGTGTCTTGAACATATTTCACTTGAAATGCAGAGAATGGATTGGTGGCAAGGGCACATCAAAGAAATTGTTGCAGGACTAAACAGATGGATGGTGATGTGATCTAAGCAAAGACATTGATAATGGGAATGGAAGGAATTGGACAGATTTGAGAAATGTTATGGAAGTGATTGCCTGGTAGTGGGTGGTAAGGAAGAGGGTGGAATAATAGTTAACTCCCAGGTTTCCGGTGGGGGAAATTGCATGGAAAATGATGTCATTCACAAAGTGAAGGAGGAGGAGCACATTCATTATGAGGAAATATGACTAGTTCAGTTTTGAACAGATTGAGTGTCTGTGGGATGTCCAAGTGGTGATGAATGTGTGACCTGAAGATCAGGAGGGAGATTTGGACTGAAGTTATCTGCAGAAGGCTGGCTAGACTATGGGGCAGGAACTGTAAACACTGGCATTGAAGTGGCTATCATAGAAAGAGAGGACTGATGGGCCGGCGCCGTGGCTCAATAGGCTAATCCTCCACCTTGCGGCGCCGGCACACCGGGTTCTAGTCCCGGTTGGGGCGCCGGATTCTGTCCCGGTCGCCCCTCTTCCAGGCCAGCTCTCTGCTATGGCCAGGGAGTGCAGTGGAGGATGGCCCAGGTGCTTGGGCCCTGCACCCCATGGGAGACCAGGAAAAGCACCTGGCTCCTGGCTCCTGCCAGGATCAGCGCGGTGCGCCGGCTGCAGCGGCGGCCATTGGAGGGTGAACCAACGGCAAAAGGAAGACCTTTCTCTCTGTCTCTCTCTCTCACTGTCCACTCTGCCTGTCAAAAAATAAAAAAAAAAAAAAAAAAGAAAGAGAGGACTGAACAGGAAAGGGTAAAGGAAAAAATCAGAGTGTTTGGGGTCATGGAAAAGAGATGGAGAATGGAGAGAGGTCTAAGAGGGCTGAAGTAGTCAATGTCAAAAACTGATAGAGGTCACCCACAGTGAGGTCTGAAATTTGTCTATTGGATGAAGTAATAAAAATGCCATTCATTAATAGGGTGACCATCTGTCTGGGTTTCCTTGGAACTGTCCCAGTTTATGCCTGTGGTCCCAGCACTATTGCTTGCACTCTTTAGTGCCCAAGTTCAGATAACAGATCATATCATCGTCCCTGATTGGTGAGAACAGTTTCAATAGTATGGCAAAAATATATTGCCATGGGTATAAGGATGAAATGAAAAAGGAAGGCATTGGATAAGGCTGCTTTTTGAACGGGTATGGTGAAGATATTGGAGCAGGAACTTTAACATTAAGTAAGCATTGAACTAGATATATTTTGGAGTTTTATTCTAGTCCTGGGAATAGTCTGTAGCATTCGTTACTTATTGTTTTTACTATGATGGGTTCTTAAATTATTGAAATTCAAGATTCAGTTTCTTGTTCTGCATTATAGAGCTAAGTACTATTGTCTTACACATTATTTAATAAAAACCAATATATTACAAGTAAAATGACTTATTCCTTTATCTTGAAAATGCATACCATTACTTAAAATGTTGTCCATTAATCTTGTATCTGAAAGGCTTTGTAATATAGAAATGTGCGTGTTGATTATCACCCTTAGGAAATTTCTGTTAGCCCCAAATTAAGCAAGAAAATAATTTTGTCCTTTGAATTATTTTTTATGATGCAGAAGAGTGGGAGTAAATATTCTGCCTCTCATTGTAGATACTGTTAAAGAAGGAAAACCAGGGAAAAAATCCATGCCTCCAATTTTATATACACCTTATATGTCACTTTTGGAACTTCCAGGTTAGACAAAAGAGATGTCTGTGAGAGGTTAAAATTTATATTTATAATGAGAAAAGTGCAAATAATGCAAGAGTTTCTCTGTGTAATAGAAATAAGGGATGACCAAGGAGGTCTTCAAGGAGTTAATAGAAAATACATGTTATGAAAAAGCTATGCATGGATTCCAACTATTTTTGCACCAAAATAAACTTATCTTTTAATTCCATTTTCCATGAACTTTCTGAAGCCTCCTAATATTTAAGACAATTAAAATGATGATTATCATGAGTAAAGAGTATCTTGGGATGACAGAAAAGTTACATCTAATTGATTTTTAAAACTGATGGATCAGGGCTGGTGCTGTGGAGTAGCAGGCAAAGCAATGCCGGCAACTCATATGGGCACTGGCTTGAGTCCCAGCTGCTTCACTGCTGATTCAGCTCTCTGCCATGGTCTGAGAAAGCAATGGAAGGTGGCCCAAGTTCTTGGGTCCCTGCACCAATGTGGGAGACCTGGAAAAAGCTCCTAGCTCCTGGTTTCAGATCAGCTCAGCTCTAGCCATTTCTGCCATTTGGAGAGTAAGCCAGCAGATGGAAGACCTCTGTCTTTCTCTCTGCCTCTGACTCTCTATAACTCTGCTTTTCAAATAAATAAATACATCTTTAAAAAAACTAGTGGATCTTGGGTTAGGTAATGAAGAGTTTTTAGTACCTTGGACTTCCTTGCAGAAGGATGACAAAGGCAGACAATAAAGTCCCTTGTAAAGCTCAACACCTGAGCCTCATTTCTCACTGCTGTTGAATTTGATTATTGAGGTCAAGCTTGGAGCCTTAAGCCTGCCACCAATGCTTTCAGAGTTGGGGTTGGGAAATGGTGACCATCAGCATTCCCTTTTTATTGTTAAGATGCAAATGGGTACCCTAATAAAAGGCGATGGAGGGAATATCTCTGTTTGAGAAATGAGGCTAATGAAAAGTAATAAATTGTATGGCAGCCATAATTTCTGTGCCATATGCAGGCCTGTGAATAGTCCCATAAAACATGCTATTACAGAGAAGGGTCTTTAGTGTTTCTTAGGGTAATTAATAAGAGTGCTCTGACTACACACTATTACATTACCTAGTCAATGCACCAAGAAATCTACAAAACATATTCAAAACACTTGCATATTATCCATTCATATTGTCAATAATAAAATCATGCCAAATGTGCCATTGAAAGGATAATTTGTCATTTATTCTTTGGACATATGATCTAATCAGACCCACAGCCTAATATACTGCTCTTCTGTCTCAGTTCCTATTAATTTACCCAGAATTTCTTCTTTTCATCTCTGTTTTGTTTCTCTTGTGTGCATCTGTTTTTCAGTAAGCAATGGCCTCGGTTTTACTTTACTTTGGACAACCACCACCACATAGGGCCTGAATGTCCTACTGCTTTCCAGGAACATCAAAAAGACCCTCTGTCTGTCTGTTTCAGTGGAAGTGTGGAAGGAGAAAAACTGTTGAATGGGCCACCGTTTCAGCAGACCCTCAGGTGAATGGGACCAGTCTCTCCTCTTCCAAAATATCAGAAATTAAGCCCTTGGAAAGGAGATTTGGCCACGATGACCCATTTACAAGCTGGGCTTAGTCCAGAGACTATAGAGAAAGCACGCCTGGAACTGAATGAAAACCCAGATGTTTTACATCAGGATATTCAGCAAGTCAGGGACATGATCATCACCAGACCTGACATTGGATTTTTGCGTACAGATGATGCCTTCATCCTGAGATTTCTCCGAGCCAGGAAGTTTCACCAAGCAGATGCCTTTAGACTTCTGGCCCAGTACTTCCAATACCGCCAGCTGAACCTGGACATGTTCAAAAACTTCAAGGCGGATGATCCTGGCATTAAGAGGGCTCTGATTGACGGGTTCCCAGGAGTGCTGGAAAACCGTGACCACTACGGCAGGAAGATTCTTCTGCTGTTTGCAGCCAATTGGGATCAGAGTAGGTAAATGTAGATAGTGTCTTTACTTGTTTTTTCCTTTCCATTGCATCAGCAGTGCATGTTTGGAGTTGAGTGGTAATGGACTTGCTTTTCTCTCCATATATATATATATATATATATATATTCTATTTTACATATACCCACAAAAGAAGTATTAAGGTAACAGGTGTGTTCTCATCTAAATAATGGTTTGCAGGTAATGGACTTACATTTCTCTCCATATATATATTCTCTATATATTCCATATACCCACAAAAGAAGTATTAAGGTAACAGGTGTGCTCTCATTAAAAGGCAGTTCTGGATTCCCAGTGTTTTGGAATGATAGAATCAGTGTTAGAATTGTAAGAGACCATAGAATTCCTTTTTCTATTCATCAGAATGGGTCATTTATTTTAATAAAACTGAGAGCTGCTCATTTAAAGAAGCATAGATTCTGCTTTCAATGTTACCTTTAACACCAGCAAAAATGAATTCAATAGATGGTTTTAAATCAAATGTTTTTGACACATTAAATAATTTCTTGGATCCTCTCAATGATTTTAATATCCTGTTTTCCTGAGTTCCAGTCTATAAAGAAACCCAAGGTCAATATGTCCCAAACTGAAAGCATCATCTTCCCCACTCTATCTGTTCTTTCATCCACCCAGAAATCTAAAGCCCGAAATCTTGGAGTGATCCTTGACAATTCCTTGACTTGGTCTTCACATCCAACTAACTGCCAAATCCTAGCACTTTCTTCTTAAAAACCTTCCAGATCTGTTGCCTTGGTTTAGGTTCTCATTACTTTTCACTTACATTATTGTACAACCCTCCTAATTGGCATCTCTGCCTCTAGTCCATTCTCCATTGACTAGTACAAGATAGTGCAATCCTTTTAAAGTTCTACTAAGTCCCTCTTCTTATCACAGTTGTTCAGTGGCCTGAAAGGCCTTCAAAGGAAAGTAATGCCCTTTATGGTTCCCCTTCTATGTTTCCTACTCTTCTTCATCCTCAGCCCTTCTTTTGTTCCCTTATCCAGTTGGTTGAAAGCATAAACTTTGCCTCCAATACTTTGCACTCAGCCAATAAGACACTTAAAGGAGAGATCAACCACCCTCTATTCCAGCTTCAACTATCCTGGACACATCCTGTGTATTCTTACCCTACTCCCAAGATTGTAGGATTCTCAGAGTGTCTGTGTCTTTTGCATGTTTATCTCTTTGGCTGATGACACAATAGCCAATGAATGTTGCTTGTGAGTAAATCAATGTCCCAAGCCCATCATTGAAACTTCTATGAATTAGAAATACACAGGTTTGGGGCCAGCATTGTGGCTCACTTGGTTAATCCTCTGCCTGCGGCTCCGGCATCTCATATGGGCACTTGTTTTAGTCCCGGTTGCTCCTCTTCAGCTCTCTGCTGTGGTCCTGAAAGCAGTGGAGGATGGTCCAAGAGCTTGGACTGCTGCACCCACATGGGAGACCAGGATGAAGCTCCTGGCTCCTGGCTTCAGATTGGAGCAGCTCTGGTCATAGCGGCCATTTGGGGAGTGAACCAATGGAAGCAAGACCTTTTTCTCTGTCTCTCTCATTGTCTATGACTCTACCTGACAAATAAATTTAAAAAAAAAGAAATACATAGGTTTAAATTAAAAAATATATCAAAGAATCCTTCCTCCTGAAAGGGAGACCTTGGGTGCCTCTTCACTGCCTCACACCAATACTCTCTTCATACAAATAATAGTGTGAGATATTTAAGTAATTACTGAATATTTTCTGGTTGATCAATTTGAAATATAGCAATAAAATACTTGACTATGTATTTGGACTGTTTAACACTATTGGTCTAGATTTTGGTTGAGTCTACACTTGGGCCTGGGTTGGCTTTCCACATTTATATTCTATTTTATAATGATGTGATAATAAATAATATTTGTTAATATTATATCATATCACAATTAATATAACTAATGATGAGTCTCTCATTTCATGATTCCCTGATAAAGAAGATTCTCAAGTCTACACATTCACTTATTCATCTATATCATGAGCTCAAAAAATATTTGGAGAAAAAGGACTTTGTGTCACAGCTTGTACTAAGGCACTTAGAGAAAAATGATGAGAAGACATGGTCCCTCTCCGTGAAGACCCCATTGCAATGGTGCAGACTTACAGACAGCTAATCACAATGTACCACAGGGTGGTTCTTTCTGAGATACACAAATCATTAACCAAGGACATCAGCATTAAACTAGAGGGAAATGCCACACTTCTGAGAATGGCACATGAACATGTTATTTTTTTATTTTTTAAAAAGATTTATGTATTTATTTGAAAGATGTATACAGAGAGAGAAGGAGAGGCAGAGGGAGAGAGAGAGGTCTTTCATCCGTTGGTTCACTCTTCAATTGATTTAAATGGCCGGAACTGAGCTGATCTGAAGACAGGAGCCAGGAGCTTCTTCCAGGTCTCCCAAGCGGGTACAGGGGCCCAAGGACTTGGGCTATCTCCTGCTGCTTTCCCAGGCCATAGCAGAGAGCTGGATCAGAAGTGGGGCAGCTGGAACTTGAACTAGCTCCCGTATGGGATGTTGGCACTGCAGGTGGTGGCTTTTCCCACTATGCCACAGCGCTGGTCCCACATGAACACTTTGGAATTTGAAACAGGAAAGTTTTGATAATTCTGGAGAATGATCATGTTGACTTCATTTGTGTTAAGCTGTGTTCAGTGTTCTAGAATTTCCATCTGCTCAAACAGATGATGCAAAGATCACCAATCAGTAGTGATGTGCAGATAAAGAAATGAGCCATAGTGAAATATTTTATTTTGTATTAGAATTGGGTCAGCTTATCTCCTAAGATATGCTGTTAATAAGTATGAAAAAATAAGTCTCTGAGGAAATAAACCAAATGTTTGTGATTATAGAAGCCTTGAACAAACTGCTTCACTTCTCTGTTTGTCTTGTGTAAAATGAGAAGGTTGAACTATGTAATTCCTGAGATCTCTTCTAGCTCTAAAGGCTCATGAATGTGAAGCTCATTCAGCTGATCCTATGGATGGAGAGGGATTTTAAAATTCACTTTATGGGCTCCTAATTCACTGGCATTTTGAAGTATTTCTTTCACTCTTTCTTCTCACTTACCAATTTTTTCAACCTATACAGTATTATTTGTTCCAAACCATTTCAGTTTTATCAAACAGGTGGTAATTATAGGGGTATCCTTTTGGCAGAAAAAGATCATTAAATGCAAGAAACTTCATTTTAATGCAGATATTGTCATGCAATTTGCTGGTTTATGATCTTGGAGAAGGAACCTCTCTGAGACTCAATTTCCTCATCTCTAAGGTGGGGATGATAACAATGTCTATCTAATAGTGTGATTGGGAGGCTTAAATTAAATAATGCATTGAAGAAACATGGCTCCTTCTTTGGCATATGTTAAGCTCTCAATAGACTCTAGTTTATAGTATTGTTACTAATAGTCTAGAATATTTCACCAGAAAAGTAACAGAATACCATTGGTAAATAAATTAGAACCAGAGACAAGTGTACAATATTTGCAAATGGGAGAAGTGCGATGAAGGTGACCTGCCCACATACCAATGCTAACCAGTTGTTTGCTTTCTTTCTCAACAACCCAACCCAAACAGAGCCAAAAATCTGGAAGTATAAACACAGCTTTGCAAAGTGATGTTTGAGTACCTGAGATGACTGGGAAGCAATTTGAATGTCTTATATGAAAGGTTTACTGAGATGAAAATGCATAGTAATATTTATTAAAATGATGTATACCTCACCCACCTAGACTCAGACATGTGAACAAAAACATAGAACAATGAGGAATGGGAAGCACTATCCTCCAAAGGTGTGTGCAGGTCTGTCTTCTTGGATTAGGTATGAAAACTGAGATCAAGGCAGTGACTGGGCTGTGGGAACATAACTGGCCTTGTCCACAATTGGTGCTTAGCAGAGAGCTGTCTGGCTTCTGTATTTTCTGAGGCTGTTGGGCTGAACTGAAAGCATTAGATGAAATTGGCATCCACATATTTATTCATAAAATGAACCTGCCCCTTCCAGAGTTAGCAGAGTTAATAATCTGGCTCACCAGTGTGGTACATAGTGGAGACCTGAGGGGACACTATAGTTCATTGAGCACTTTGATCTTTCTCACCTGACCTCCTATCAGCATTGGAAAGAATCCACAATTTGCCCCTATAAATTCTGATAAAAAATAAATCCATTTCCTGCTTCTGAGCTGCAGACTCATACCTGGTCACATAGCCTGATGTGTGCTCTGGTGCCAGGCAGGGAGATATGGAAACAGAGGATCATGTCTATATTTTTCTGGATTTCCATCACTTAAAAAAAGAGATAAGTGTGATCAAGTTATTCTACTGTGGAGCTGCATTTTCACCAAATGGAAATAGGTAAAATGTCTGGCCTGTGGAGCTGTTGCAAGGATTAATCTCAACTGACCTACTAGAAGGTACCCAAAAGAAAAATAGAATAGTGATTAAATGCACAAACTCTGAAACCATATGGTTGGCTTCAACTTCTAGCTGCCTCCTAACCAGCCAGGGAATCTTTAGCAAGTTACTCAAATTCTTACTACCCTAAATGTCTTACCTATAAAGTGGGTGACAGGTATCATGCATTGGCACTAGTTTTTACTCTAAAAGCGGTAGTTTTTTCTTAAAAATAAGGTATATAGCTGGGATAATAGGTCACAATATGCTGACGACAGCAGCATTTGACGTCATTATCAACATTCCTTCACCTGGAAAATTCTGAAACATGCAAAGGAGACCCCAAGCTACCTTGCTCCAAAGTCTTCTGTGAGAGCTTAGTTGTGTCTGGGAGGCTCTGTGCAGTTACTTAGTCTTATTTCCCCTGCCTATTGTGTTTATTATATTTTCATGATGTAAGGAAAGCATTTGAGAGAGGATAGATTCAGATAATAAAAACTCCACCATATGCTCTATTAGTATTCCATTTTTGCTTTGTATAAACCCAGCTGGTCCC